TGCCAAGACCCGTGGCAAGACCCTCCTGGATGAGGACTATGTTATGAGACGTAACGCGGTCGACTTCGGTGTTCCTCTCTTCATGGAGACCAAGGTATGTGGCAGTCCATTCCCTTTAACCAAGTACGCCTGTGTCACGTTTACTAATCGTCTATGCCAGACCGCTCTTCTCTTCGCTCAGGCCATGAACGCTAAGCTGCCCCGTCCCGACGGCATTCCCCCTGAGGTCCGCAGCTGGTCCGAGTTCACTGGCAGCAGGCTGATGTAAATCCGAATATCGACGATCTCATCAAAACTATGAAAAAAGGGGAAAAGTCATGTTCTATTTATAGATCTAATCATGCGCTTTGGCTTATGTTCTCTTTTCAGGCAAACAAAAGCCCGTCCTGTTTGGCGTAGAGGATCCGGCTTCGTGTTGATAGAATTTGTGGTCTTGGTCTGGACCTGGCATGAGGATCATGGCCATGCTGCGGTGTTCCATATTTCTGTTATATTTACCATGGTTTTTGAGTAGGCAGGCTATGTGCTTGAGCGAAAAGAATCTGATTTGTATTTTACTTTCATTCGTTACCTAGCTTGATCAGCCTTTATATGATGATTCAAGATGTATGTATTCTTAAGAATTTCGACTGTTTATCAACTCTTCAATAACCTTCGTCGCCAGAAGAGAACACGTGATATCGGCTCCGGTTGATTCAGTTTTGCTGATATTTGCCTTGTTTCTCACAAACTACAAGGTCGGCACATATCATTAAAGCAGCACGGAATAGAAACGCAAGAATTGGATGCTGAGAGAGGACCCTCGATTGAAATGCTCTAGGCTACCGAAACTAGAGTTCTCCCCAAATCATATGATCTACCATCATAATGGCTTCTGGATCTCAAATCTACGGAGTAAAGTCTGAGTAACTGGAACTATCCACAACTTGTCGTGAACATCGGACGACCTAGAAATGGCATCTATAAGGGACTTACAGCGGGGCAGCCGCAAAGTCCCCGAAGACACCCTAAACGAGGATATTCTCAGGCGTCTACTCGACCAAACAGTCACCAGCACGGATCCCAACCAGGACAATGAGAACATCGCGGAAGGGGGATTCGAGAACCCTGTTCCTTCAGTCTACACCAGAGGCTATCCTGCTCCGTCTCCGGGCGCTGGGACAGGGATCTTTGCTGCGATGGATATCCCGGTCGGAGGGACCGTCATGCTCATTCAGAGGCCGTTCGTGGCAGTCTTGGATACTGAGCGGTTGCCGGATACCTGCTCCGGATGCCTAGGGCAGCATCATTGCAACAGAGATGCCAACGTCGAGTTGAAAGCTTGTACGGGGTGTCGGGTTGTGAAGTATTGTAATAAGGTTATTACCAGATGCCTTTCTGTCCTTCCGAGTCCGCGTCACCACTAACTGGGGATAGACCTGCCAAGCGAAAGACTGGAAGTTCGCTCACTCGTTCGAATGTCGGATTTTCAAGGAGTTGATGCCCCGAGTGCTTCCGAGCAATGCCAGGGCTATTCTTCGGATGGTCCTGCGTAGCGAGCGCGGCAAATATCCAACGGAGGAGCTGGAGCTCTTCCGCAAACTGGAGAGTCATATGGACGAGATTCAAGCGCAAAACTGGGAACAATGGCAGCGGATATCCCTGACCGCGAAGGCCGTCAAGAAGTACTCTGGGTGTGCTATGGATGAAGAAACGATATGTCACTATGGTGCAAAGGTGAGTTCGGCTGCACCTTTCTCTCTTTCTCTATGTCATTTCCTGGCGAGAGCTGACTTGGTTATTACGTTCCAAAGCTGGAATTAAACTCGTACAACTTTCACAGTCCCCTGGCTGATCGTCTGGGGTTCTATCTGCACCCATATGCGGCTCTGGTCAACCACAGCTGCGACTACAATTCCGTCGTCGGCTCGGATGGCGACGCCCTTTACGTCAAAGCTCTTCGCCCGATCCAAAAGGGCGAAGAGATTCTCGTCTCGTACATCGACGCCACGAACCCCTATAAAATCCGCCAGAAAGAGCTCTCGGAGCGATACTACTTCAAATGCCGATGTCCCAAGTGCCAAAAAGGCACAAGCACACGCGAAGACCGCTTCCTCGGCGAACCGCACGACCTCTCTGTCCTGGAAGACGCCGAGGGCGCGGCAACAAATGTTTTGAACCGGGTCGGTAGTCCACAGCTCAGCCCATCAGAGGCCGCCGATGAGATCAAACGAGTCATGAAGGACCTACACAGAACCTCTGCGTGGCCGATCACCCGGCAGCCGATGGTCGCCCTGCGAGACGAGCTGATCACCTGTCTTCTCGCAGAGGACGAACCCTACGAGGCATTCGTGCACGCCGCAATCCGCTTCCGTCTTATTGATCCCATTGTGTATCCGGAACCGGGGCATCCGACTCGACAGATGCACGCGTGGGTGTTTGCGATGCTCGCCAGCGAGATGATGCTGCAGGGGCTGCCGGCGTTGAGCGGCAAGAAGGATTCATCTGCCGTGTGCGCCGCGATCTGGCAATCCGTTCTCTTTTATCTCATGGATGAACTCGAGGTGAGTTCTGCTGTGCCGACCCTCAAGAAGATAATCAGAAAAGCGTTTGCCGAGGGGCCGGTGCAGATGTACAACCACGGCTTGAGACGGAGTCCTGGCGAGTTGCTCCATTCCATGCGGAGAGCGTGGAGCGAGCTTGATGAAATTATTAATGAGGCATTGGAGAAGGAGAGGGCTTGATTCGTGCAGACTGAGGGGCTTGTAACGAATCTAGTAGTGCCGTGCGTTTTGGGTCAGAATCCGTCCCAGTATTTTGTGAAGCTCAAATGGATAGATGGTTGAGTATCACTGATATTTCCATCAAAATTGTCAAGGCAATAGTTAAAAGGAAAGATGGGTAAACTGGACAGATCAATAACAATTACCAGGTACTGCAGTAAACTACAAGAGCAGGTATGCGAATGTCTACAGAAGTGGTAACGCCGTGCCTACGGATATAGACGTATGAAATTCGACTTCGTAAATTAGACTTCCATTCCTAACTAATCCTCAGTGAAAGGAACAGGTGAAAGGAACAGGTGAAAGTCCCGCCTCCGCCGAAGCAGAACGGAGGGGCAAAACTTCATCATCATAAGTTTGACGATCCCGTTTGGTCTTTGGTTCGTTCGTGTTTCATGGCGACAAGATCTTTATATTGAGATGCAAACAGCTGACCCGCACTTGACATACAAGTTTGATGAACCCAAATGGACGCAAATGGTATCCATCCCTTTTTTGTTCTCCCAGCACATCCGTACGCCCGATCCTCCACGCAACACTCCAGAAAGCTTTTCTTCTTTACTTGAGGGGAATGAAACGAGAAGAGTGGGTGGCACCGATACCGGGACGACCGTGCTTGACGGGCTTGCTGTATGGTTGTTAGAACAGACTCAAAAAGAACCCCTGATATGGGGGACGCAAGGTGAACATACTATGTGATGGAGAATTCACCAAGGTAGTGGCCAACCATCTCGGGCTTGACCTCAATCTGGTTGAACTCCTTTCCGGAGTAGATACCGATGACGCTGCCGATCATCTCGGGGACAATGATCATGTCACGCAGGTGGGTCTTGACGAGGTCGGGCTTCTCGTTGGGCTTGGCCTCCTGCTTGGCCTTGCGGAGCTTCTTGATCAGGCCCATGGGCTTGCGCTTCAGACCACGGTTGAACCTGCGGCGGGCGCGGGCGTGCACGACATCGCGGAGCTGTTCGGAGGAGAGGTCGAGGAGCCTGTATCACATTCCATGTCAGACAACGGTTCCTTCATGTGTTCTCCAATCCGTCCCTGTATCTCAACTCCAGACTCCGACAAGGACGACCCATGCAAAGATGGTACAGTTGATGGCCTCACTCGTTCAGAGTCGGGTGGTTGGCCGGTGACAGGGTTGGATGGATGGATGGAAGCTTGCTGAACATACTGGTCGAGGTCAATTCCGCGGTAGGTGAACTTGCGGAATTGTCTTCTCTTCTTGATCTCTGTTCGGTGAAAGTGTCTGTCAGCGCGTCTATCCTAACCTCGGTGTGTGGTTGTCCGATTTCTCCGTAGTCGTATCCCTCCGGTCGCTCTTATGCACTAAGTCTCCATCTCGATTCATCGATTCTTTCCAGTATTCCATCACGAAACAGCCCACAACACTCCGCGCTCTTCTGTAGTATGACAGGGATTGGAAGAAAGGGTGTCCTGCGACAACGTACCGGCAGCCTCCTCGGCGTTCTGCAAGCAAAGATTTCACATTAGCTCCTCTCGAACAAAGTATTGAAGACCATTTACATCCTGGAATATCACTCACGTATTCGGTGTCAGCCATTTTTGCGGATGTTCCTCTCAAGGTCGCTTTCCGAACGTTACTCGAAAAGCGAAGGGAATATGGTTGTCGTGTCGTGTCTTGTCGCTAAAGGACCTTCGTCGGGGCTAGTCTTGTGCCTACGCTTCAGGTTGCGAGGTGGGCTGGAGGGCTCGTCTAAGCGACCGCACTAGGTCAAACCCTAAACCACTAGTACTGATTGGGATACCCATCAGTCTCCGCCCTTGTCCTGATTTTTCAGGCATCCAGATCATTATATGATAACTTTCAGTCTTGCTTATTTGACACGAAATGTACGATTAACATCTTGATATTCAAGAGTTTTGTTGTGAGGGATGGCGCTTTTTGACAAGAGGATACTGTGACTTGCGTTCAACAGATTATCCCCGGCAAACACTCACTCGTACTTATACGCTTCAATATCTTGAGCTTACATGCACAAGTCTACGTCGAACATGAACATGAATTAGTGGAGGGTCACATAATCTGTATTGGCCTAAAAGCTCTGTCCAGCTCTTATATGCGTGCTCGTAACTGCATCCGAAAAACCTGAAGGCACACAGACTGATCGGCACCAATGGGCGAGTATACTCCCCATACTGAAAATAACTGCCAGATTCCTGCTCCCCCACCAAATCTCATGATTTTTGTTGCGCTTGTATATATCAACGCGCTTAGTCGAAGAGACCGAAGCCCATGTCCTCGTCGGACTCCTCCTTCTCTTCCTCTTTCTCCTCGGCGGGAGCGGCGGCAGCACCACCAGCAGCGGCACCGCCAGCGGCAGGAGCAGCGCCGGCAGCACCACCGGAGGGAACGGAAGCGAGCTTGGCGGAACCCTCAGCGATCAGCTGTTGTAGAATTCGATGTCAGCGCCAGTCCAAAATTCTCAGTCTGTAATCTTCGAGCTGTGTGTACTAACCTCCTGGAGGTCCTTGCCCTCGAGCTCAGCAATGAGCTTGTTCAGGCGCTCCTCGTCGGCGTCAATGCCAACGGAAGAGAGGACAGCCTTGACATCCTCAGCGGAGGGGGAGGTGTTGCCAGCAAGGGCGAGGAGCAGGTAAGCGGCGAGGTGCTTCATTTTGAATCTGCGAGAGAAAATCCGCTGTTAGAGCCCAGATCGAGATGCGACGATGGTAACGCTGATAGAATATCTACCAGGCTGAGAGCACGTACTGAGGTTATTGAGATATATCGAACACGAGAATCAATCGATTTAACCGCAAGTTGGGCGGAGACTGAGACGTCGAGTTCGCTGGGAGATTTAGCGAAGTGGTTAGAGGAAGTAAGAATTGGAGAATTGAACCATCAAAATATCGAGAAAAGTGCGGTGCGGCTGGTGGATGTGGCTAGTGTCATCAGAACCGTCTAAGCTAAGCGAGGGTCTGTGGCGCATGTGTCTCCAATTAAACTTCCAAGTGACTGAGACGTCCACGTGACTAGCTGCTTCTAGAAGAACAGGATGGCGTCTGGCAGCAACGTTACGACTCTTCCTTTGCTGTCTCGTTCAGACGCCATCGCTATGTGTTAGGTTTTGCATCGGCATCAGAGGGGTAAACAAGACATATTCATTTCTTCAGCCCTCTCCTCTCTCTCAATCTCGCAGCTCATGAAGTCATGAAGTCACCCCGTCAAACTAACCACCGACGGTGAACCTACCCTTATCAGTGCTCCTATCTTGTTATCCAGTGTCTCATCTGCTGAAGCTCTTTCGTCTACCTCAGTGGTCATCATGAGTGTCAGTCTTCTTCCACGTTGTAGTATCTGACATGTCTAACACTTTGACAGTTTCTTGACTCCGTTCTCTCGTCTATTGAGACGGGCAGACCAGCTCCCATCGCTCCTCCCCCTCCAATTCGGACGACCGCGCCACCCGTGTCGTCCTCAAATGTCAGATCTCAAGCATACAAGCCTACCAATGGGCTTGGTAGCAATCCTACCGCGCAAGGGAATGTTGCTGCTGGGGTGAAAAGGAAAGCGGAGGATCAGTTGCGTCGACCCCGGAAGCCTGAGTTTGAAGCATCGACCAAGCCAACGGCAAACAAACCTGTTAATGCTTCTATTGCTTCAAAGTCTCGCCCAGTCGCCACTTCGTCTTCCGTCAAGTCTACAAACGGAAATACTGCAACCGCTACTCAGAAACCGCCTCAGATCTCCTCGAAGCCCCCTCCTAAAGGTTCGTATGCTGATCTCATGATGAAAGCGAAGGAACTACAGACCAAAGCCCCAACTCAAGTTGGCATGTTCAAACATCAACCGGTAGCCAAGGAGAAGCTCAGCAAAGCGGAACGCAAAAGACGAGCAATGGAGGCACAGACAAAAGGGAAAGATTCACGGCTGGCCAAGAAGCCCGGCGCTGTTTCTGGCGGAGCAACCGGAATCAAGTCTGGTGATGGGAAACTTGCCAGAAAACGGGAACATGAGGAATTAGCCTACAAGGGCACAGCAAGACCGTCGCAGACCGCAACGCAGCTGGAGTACCGGGGAACAGCCGGCCTGCCAAGTCGACGCGGCTCACAAGAACCAAAAGCACAGTCTCGGGCTAGTAAGCGCGCTAGAATGAATGAGTATCTGGCAACAGATGAAGAAGACGAAGGAGATTTTGCCGACGATTACGATGACTACTACTCCGCATCATCCGACATGGAAGCTGGCTACGATGATGTAGCGGAGGAAGAAGCTGCTGCATTAGCAGCAGCGAGGAAAGAGGATGAGGAGGAATTGCGCGCTGAGCTTGTGGCCAAGCAGGAAAAGCTTGAACGACGGAAGAAACTCGCAGCATTGGCCGCTAAGAGTCGATCTTGAGCTCAGCCGCTGCCTTCATTCGGCGATCCATTATTTTTCAACAGCAAATTTCCTAATAATATGCATACGGAGCATCAGCGAGGGATACCCCGTGGCTACATTATACATACGAACCATATTGTTCCCTTTGTGCATATTCGCTAGCCCCTCACTCCTGGCCTAGTCTCTTTTTTTGTCCCTTTTGATTTCATGGCGTTCAATATATTTGTGTTCCTACTTGGCATCAGCGAGCGAGCGTCAGGTGGTGTCGATAGAGGGTGGGCTACTCGTCCTTTTTTCACTAGCTGGTTCGATTTTACCTGGATTATGCGGTTTACTTGCAAAGAGCGGGGCGTCATTCTTACATATCCATCTTCCCTTTTTCTGTTCCCTGCTAGATAGATAAGACATGACATTTACTGTGGTCTATGACCAAATGAAACCGATTTATCAACCGTTTGTGCCTGTTTGGAGCTGCTGGTTGCCCCACTTAATAGGCGGTGACATCACTGGCCCCATTCCGGCTTGTCTTCACATTACAAGTATCACTTATCTAGATAGAGCTCCTTCTCATCCTAAAGAGTAGTTCATCGTCCTTGAATTCATTGGTCATTCTTTGGGATTTCGCAACAGACTCGAACATGGAACCGGTACATGTATCGACCTCCTCGAAGGTCCTGTTCAAGAAAGTGCGCCGGATTGTGCCTCCGTTGCTGGAGAAGTTCCACAAAGGTAAGCTCAATCCGGCTGAGAAGCCACAGAATGCTTTCTCTTAGAAGAACAATGCCTGATGAGAGAAGGTCAACATGGACGCGTGGCTGTCATTGGAGGCTCTTTAGAGTATGTCGAAGGGCTCCCTGTACAACTGTTTGAGTGCAAATATTCATAATCATAAAGCTACACAGGAGCTCCATACTTCTCTTCAATGGCATCAGCTCGATTAGGTACGTTATCAAAGTAGCCATAGCTGACCACTTGGTATCGGTTGACTAACTGTGATGCAGGATGTGACATGGTTAGTTGAAGAAGTCTTTACGCCGGCTCCAGTATGATGATTTTCTAACCAAGTATAGAGCCATGTCATTTGTGAAAGATCTGCAGCTTCGGTTCGTAACCACCCAAGTCCCAATAAATTTTGAATATTCGGACTGACGTAGCTTTTCAGGTTATCAAGTCGTACTCCCCTAATCTGATGGTACATCCATTGCTTCCGAGCACCGACTCGGTTAGCAACCCCAGTAGCATTGATGCTCCCGCGCTTGCCAGCCCTATTGTTTCCATGCTATCTAGGCTGCATGCGTTAGTAATTGGTCCGGGGCTAGGTCGTGATGGAGTGACTCTCAAAGTGGTCACCGAAGTTATGAAAGAGGCGCGATCCCGCTCGATACCCTTTGTTCTAGACGCTGATGGTCTGCTTCTCGTGACGGAGGATCCTGACCTGGTCAAAGGCTACAAGGACTGTATCTTGACACCCAATGTCAACGAATTCAGTCGATTGGCTAAGGCGTTGGGCATTGAAGTTCCCAGTCTGGCACAGATTGCAGCCCAGACAGATGAAGGCGACAAGACCAACAAGGAATCGCAGGCTTGCGAGCAACTTTCACAGGCCTTAGGCGGTGTGACAATCATACAGAAAGGACCGCATGATGTGATTTCAAACGGTGTGACGACCCTGATCTCGGACTTGAAAGGAGGCTTGAAGCGCAGTGGAGGGCAGGGAGATACACTCACAGGGTCGCTTGGTACACTGCTGGCTTGGAGAGCTGCTTACCATGACAAATTATGGGACTCCGGCGAGCAGGAGAACCCGAAAGAAGCGCAGTCTAAGCAGGATGTGTTGGCTGAACTTGAGTCAGAGAACAAGAGAATGTCCCCGGCGACAACCCTACTACTGGTTGCATGGGCAGGCAGTAGCATCACTCGGGAATGTTCTCGGCGGGCGTTCAATACCAAAGGTAGGAGCCTGCAGGCTAGCGATCTTACAGACGAAGTTTATGAGAGCTTCTTGGAATTGATTGGGGAACCGGAGGCTTCCAGGACCCATCTGTAGGTTGTTCGCCGTCTGGGGCTTGCGCATATCCAGCCTGTGAGAGCTGACAGTCATAAAATCCTATGACTGGCTCAAGTTTTCTTCCTTTCCATGATGATAAGACATCTTGAAGGATCAAATGACCAGGCTTTTGCCACGAAGTAAGGTAGATTGCAGTGGTTGAACCTCGAATGAATTGAGCGTGATACATTAAATCTACTTTTCTTGCTAAAAATAGCCAACTCCGTAGAGTTCAATCGAGGAGTTCTACTTCTTGCGCTTATTCGATGCATTTCTTGGAGCTGACAGATGAGGTGTCAGAGTTTCCTCCTCTTGACCTCGCATATAGTTGATCTCCATTCGCCAAGTTCCAGTATCATTGACGGCCTGAAAGCCTGCGCATCTTTCTCCGCTATTCTAAGGTATCTTTCCACGTTCAACGACCGCATCTCACCGAGTGCCGCTCGAAGCTTACAAGAGTTTCTTATATTCAGTTGGTCATGTGTTCTATCCAATTTTACCCTGACTACAAGACGGTACTGCTGCTAAATATGGCCCGAACACGTCCAATCACAGATAACACAGTCTGACCGGGCCATCTCTGATGAGGCTCCCTTGGACTCGATGACAGTTTCTGACTGGGAATCTCTGCGTTTCATTTGCCGTGGCGAGGACAGGGCTGGACTCGGTACGTCAGATGCATTTGCGGGGAAATATCGGCGACTCACGGTTCTCACCTGTCCATGTTCCAGGTCTCGTATTGCTACTACCAATCCGAAGAAGCCATGACTTTAGACACGTCCAGTCAGCTTCAGCTGGGAGACATCCAAGCTACGACGGAAGGCACCTAAGCCTGTCCGCTGTGCCATCGAGAGACATGTCTCAGAGACCTCTCTTTGTTACCTTTTGCGTTTTCACCGTCTTATGACGTGGTTATCGGATGCCGTCTGGATGACTTGCGCAGTGCCTCACAGCCATGGATGGTCTTACTTACAGTTGCATGTTTGTGTCCGTGTATGTGTCCATGTAAGGGAGACTCGATCTCCCACCGAACAACGCAAATGTATATAAAGAGGGCGAGGATATCCGGTCAACACCCCATCTCTTCTCACGCATCAAGGCATCTTTCCCACAAAGCAAGCATCAAAGCACCCTTCCAGCCCTACCAAACATCTCTCAAACCCTTCTGAGCTACCTTTCAACCAACCCACAACCACAACCACAACCACAACCACCAACATGAAGAACCTCTCCATCCTCACCTCCCT